TTTCCCATTCATTAACTAGTCTGTGGCGGCCCACCACAGTCTAATCTGTCCCGCCACAGTTTCACAATAAACCGAAAATATATTGATGATACTCCTCATTACATCATAACATGTCTTTAACGTTGTGTTTCGTGCCATTGCTTTTGTTAAGTCTCAGTCAAACGAACTAAAGCGTATGGCTTTATCCCTTCATCAAGTCTGTTCGAGCTGCTTGTTTCAAAGCCAAGCGCGCACTTTTTCACGCAATCAGCTCGTGATCCGGTGTTTCCCACATCTCAGAGCGGGTCCTTTCACAGTGAATGCAGTGAAGTCTGTTTTTGAACGTGCTGTGAGTTTAGCACGCATCTGAGAACGCAACGGTTCACAGTATTTCACTAGATTTGTAATGAGACGCGTCTGTAAGCCTGTTTTCACAGAAGTTTGTGTTTTCCGCCAAAATAAAAGCTCAGCTGCAGTTTCCACCAAAATAAAAGCTGATAGGCAGAGCAAACTCACTGTTTATTGGAAGAAAAAATGTAAATATTGGGGTATGAATGTATTTCTGAAGGGAACTGACTTTTGATGGCATTTCTCCCTCCGTTCCATAAGCGCCACCTGCTGCCAGAGAGCGAAATTCAGCCTGTCTGCTTTTTTTGTTTTACTAAGGTTTTAGCATACACATGCACCTGAATAATTACATATGTAAATATGTAAGTTACAATTATGAAAACGTTTTTATAATAAATTGCTGACAGTACAATACTGGACAATGAATCTGCAGAATTTACACTTCAATTATGAGACTACAGTGTTTCCCATAAACTGAGTGTGGGTGTTTTTATATCACTGTATTTCTGAAGGAAACCGGCTGTCCGGGGTTTGTGATGTCACAAAGCGGCATATTAGAATATCATTAAAATAAATCCCGCCCATGGAAACTGGAATGGTTGGGGGGTGGGGAGGGCCGAGGTCGTGGTTAGAACGCTTGGTTGAGTGCATCAGACAAGATGACGATGAAGAAGTGCTGCAGCAGAGTTAGTGCAGTAACAGTTTCACTGCAATTCATGTTATAATGTTAGAATTAAAGAACAATAAACATAATACATATGCACTTATCTGTGTATAGTAAATGCAGTTATTTTTAAGCAGTTGTTGACATCCTAACTAAAACATGATTTAGCCCCCACCAAAAAAAAACAACAACAATAATGTTACCCCTCTAATATGTCTTACAATACTGTACATAGTAAATGTAGTTATTTTTAAGCGGTTGTTGACATCCTGTCTAAAACGTGATTCAGCCAAAAAAAACAACAACAATAACGTTGCCACTCTAATATGTCTTGCAATATCCGTGCGTGCAAAGGTTCTGCGTGATCCTCTTGTTCAATATTCTAGGGGTCTGAATCCGGCTCAAATTGATATGGCAATATTGACTAGAGCCCGACCGATATGGTTTTTTTGGGGGCCGATACCGATATATTGGCCGATATTCTTTGTGCATATTATAGTACAGTACCAGTCAAAAGTTTGGACACTTTCCCATTCGTGTGTCCAAAAATTTGACTGGTACTATATATAGAATACAGTATATACATAAACAGAATATATACATAAACACATTTTTTGCAATGATCTCTCAAATGTGGTGATCAAACACTTATAATGGTGACAGAGATATGTAAGGGCATTTAACAATTTAT